TATTTTTTTGGACCTCTGGCTTTTAATTCTGCCATTCCATAAAATATTACCACCTGCAGCATTACTTGTAAATTAGATTTTGTACTAAGTACAGTATACACAAGATTTATTAAATCCAAATAAGATTGTAAAACAGCTAACCACTATTCCATGTTTAGTTTTAAGTATAATCACTATGTACTATTATCTTATCTAGTTTTAATTAGTTACTACGTATTAGATTAGTTTGCTTGAAATGCCTCGGCATGATAGTGGCTATCTTTGTACTTAGCAAATCAAAATTGTAATTACACATTGTAACCTTTACAAAGAAATAAACTTATTATTATTATTATTATTATTATAAGAGCAGCCATCATTTCATGATGAGGGATTGTGCTCTCAATAGATGCTGTGGGCACCCTACAGCTGCTGAGATTTAATTGCTGTCCTCATGCATTTGAATATAGTATTACAGTAAGAGATGCGTGATTACCAAAACTATTATCCAGAGGGCTGAGGAGGGGTAGAGGTTCGGATATGTAGAGAGAAAGGAAGGAAACAGAATGACTTCAAGTATAAATCTGTAGTGGAGGGAAGGCAGGGTAGAGGTCAGCCTAGGAAAGGTTGGAGGGAGGGGGTAAAGGAAGTTTTGTGTGCGAGGGGCTTGGACTTCCAGTAAGCATGTGCAAGTGTGTTACGAGCGAATGGAGACAAATGGTTTTTAGGACTTGACGTGTGTTGGAATGTGAGCAGGGTAATATTTATGAAGGAATTCAGGGAAACTGGTAGGCCGGACTTGAGTCCTGGAGATGGGAAGTACTGTGCCTTCAATCTGAAGGAGGGGTATTAACGTTGCAGTTTTATAACTGTAGTGTAAGCACGACTCTGGGAAGACAGTGATGGAGTGAATGATGATAAAAGTTTTTCTGTTTTGGGCCGTCCTGCCTTGGTGGTAAGTGGCTGATGTGTTAATAAATAATAATATTAATATTAAATAGGACTGACCTATGAATAATACATGGAGGCAACAACAGGTGGTGTTACATTACCTTCATATTACCAAGGCGTTTTGTCCGGTCCTGAGTAAGAAGTTTCTTGACAAGATCTTTGGCTGAAGTATCCAAGTGTCTTGGCCACTCTACACGGCCACCCAAGATTTTTTCGTATATACCAAAAGGGTTATCATCAAAAAATGGTGGATATCCAGCAAGCATTTCGTATATGAGGATACCTGTAATAGAGTGTTATGAAGTTTTGCATTAACAAAATATTATATAAAATGATAAGTTTTAAGATATGTACTAAAAAACACTACAATCCACTGCACACAACCCGCACATTTGCCCATCACAACAATGATCGTTACTTCAAAATGTAAAGAAACTCATTCTTCACTCTTAGCATTAACAGGTATGGTCGAGGGTGGAGGGAAGGATGGCCACTGGTCATCCCATAAAGGCTTGAAGGGAGGGGGTAAAAGAGGTATTGAGCACTAGGAGCCTAAACATTCAACAGGCTTGTGTGAGCGCATTAGACAAGAGTGGATGGAGGCAAGTGGTTTTTGTTACCTGATGTGCTCTTAGAGTGAAAGCAGGGTAACATTTATGATGGGATTCAAGAAGACCAATCAGCCAGAGTCGAGTCCTGGAGGTGGTAAGCACAGTGCCTGCATTCTGAAGGAGAGGCAAGATGTCTCAGTTCAGAGAGTTATCTGAACTGTCAACACACTTCTGGTAAGACAGTGACTGAATGAATGATGGTGAATAAGCTCATTTGAGTCACCCTAATTTGGTAGGAGATGACTGGTGCATTACAAAAATATTTTTAAGAGCATTTTTATGGCCTAAAACAAGTACTGTAAGAGGTACCAAATATGAGGGAGGAGTTCAATTAGCATATACAGTATTACAAATGTAACTCCCAGAGAAAGAGCTAATACTGATCACTGTCTTGTCCTCCCCACAGAACAGATTACAATCACTACAGTGGACCCCCGGTTAACGATTTTAATCCGTGCAAGAGGGATAATTGTTATGCGAAATAATCGTTATGCGAATGAATTTTCCCCATAAGAAATAATGGAAATAAAATTAATCCGTGCAAGACGCCCAAAAGTATGAAAAAAATTTTTTTTTACCACATGAAATGTTAATTTTAATACACACAAACTGAAAAAGGCATGCACAATTACATGACACTTACTTTTATTGAAGATCTGGTGATGATTGATGGGATGGGAGGAGGGGAGAGCATTATCTTCTTACTGTTTAGAAGGGGAATCCCTTCCATTAGGACTTGAGGTAGTAAGTCCTTTTCTGGGGTTACTACCCTTCTTTTTTTAATGCCACTAGGGGCCAGCTTCAGAGTCACTGGACTTCTTTCGCACAAGATATCTGTCCATAGTGGCCTGTACCTCTCGTTCCTTTATGACTTGCCTAAAGTGTTTCACAACATTGTCAGTGTAATAATCACCAGCACGGCTTGCAATAGCTGTGTGAGGGTGATTTTCATCCATGAAGGTTTGCACTTCAAGCCACTTAGCACAGATTTCCTTTATCTTTGTAGTAGGCAACTTCTTCAATTTCTCTCTCCCCTCCTCTGAACCCCGTTTCCCCCGGTCTGGCTCTTGCTCTTGAAGTTGATCTATCAGCTCATCAGTGGTTAGTTCTTCATTGTCCTCCTCCACCAACTCTTCCACATCCTCCCCACTAACCTCCAACCCCAAGGACTTTCCCAATGCCACAATGGATTCCTCAACTGGCACAGGATTCTCAGGGTTAGCCTCAAACCCTTCAAAATCCCTTTTGTCTACACATTCTGGCCACAGTTTCTTCCAAGCAGAGTTCAAGGTCCTCTTAGTCACTTCCCTCCCAAGCCTTACCTATAAGGTTTACACAATTGAGGATATTAAAGTGATCTCTCCAAAACTCTCTTAGAGTCAGTTGAGTTTCTGAGGTCATTACAAAGCACCTTTCAAACAGAGCTTTTGTGTACAGTTTCTTGAAGTTGGAAATAACCTGCTGGTCCATGGGCTGCAGGAGAGGCGTGGGATTAGGAGGCAAAAACTTCACCTTAATGAAGCTCATGTCCCCATAAAGTCGCTCTGCCACGTCTGTAGGATGACCAGGGGCATTGTCTAACACCAGGAGGCACTTAAAGGGCTAATTTCTTTTCAGTTAGGTAATTTTTCACATTGGGGGCAAATGCATGGTGTAACCATTATAGAAAAATTCCCTAGTGACCCATGCCTTACTGTTTGCCCTCCACAGCACACACAAATTATCCTTGAGGACATTCTTTTGCCTGAAAAGCTCTGGGAGTTTCAGAGTGATACACTAATAAAGGCTTAACTTTGCAATCACCACTAGCATTGGCACACATCAACAAAGTAAGCCTGTCTTTCATAGGCTTATGTCCTGGGAGTGCCTTTTCCTCCTGAGTAATGTAGGTCCTGCTTGGCATTTTCTTCCAGAACAGGCCTGTTTCATCACAATTAAACACTTGTTCAGGTTTCAGTCCTTCAGTTTCTATGTACTCCTTGAATTCCTGCACATATTTTTCAGCCGCTTTGTGGTCCGAACTGGCAGCCTCACCATGCCTTATCACACTATGGATGCCACTACGCTTCTTAAATCTCTCAAACCAACCTTTGCTGGCCTTAAATTCACTCACATCATCACTAGTTGCAGGCATTTTTTTAATTAAATCCTCATGCAACTTCCTAGCCTTTTCACATATGATCGCTTGAGAGATGCTATCTCCTGCTAGCTGTTTTTCATTTATCCACACCAATAAGAGTCTCTCAACATCTTCCATCACTTGCGATCTTTGTTTCGAAAACACAGTTGAACCTTTGGCAAGAACAGCTTCCTTGATTGTCTTTCTGGTGCCACAATAGTAGCGATGGTTGATTTGGGGTTTCTTGTACAGCTTGACTAGGTCGGCTATACGCACTCCACTTTCATACTTATCAATTATCTCTTTCTTCATTTCTATAGTAATTCTTACCCTTTGAGGTGTAGGGTTGGCACTAGAAGCTTTCTTGGGGCCCATGGTCACTTATTTTCCAGAAACAGCACCGAAAATACTGTAATAATACGAAATATTCCGAGTGTATGCTTGGATGTTACCGCGGAGGCTGGCTGGTAAACAATGGGACGGGCGGCACATGTGAGGCTGGCTGAGGGCACATTGGACGCGTCTCGGACGAAAATCGGTGAGCGGGTTTTTAATCGGTATGCGCGGCAAAAATTTTGCGATAAAAGTAATCGGTATGCGGAAAAATCGCTATGTGATGCCATCGTTATGCGGGGGTCCACTGTATATCACTTCTGTCTTACATAAAGTCAACCTGGGCATTGCTATAGTAACCAACAAACCATTTAAGACATCCCCAGACCTCACTGACACAAGTGTATCTTTGCTGCTGGTGTTTACAGCATTCCATGTAGATGATGTAGTAAAGTTTACATCGATGAGACAGGTCTTGGCTGTCAATCTTGCCTACGGGAACACAGATGTGCTTACAAGATGGACAATATAAATAACATGTGCATTGTTCACTGCATCTACACTCCCATATCATGAACTATGTAGCAGCACGATAATTATATCAAGACAAAACTAAACAGGATTCTGAGAGCAGTCACTATACATTTCTAACTGATATTACTGAACAAACAAGGGACTGCACACATTAGCAGATTCCAACATTTGTATTATATATGACTCACGAAATCATAATGACATGATTGCAGCTGGCCCAGTAGTTAGCGCGTCGGTCTGGAGTTTTACAACTCTCTGATCATGGGTTCTATCCCCGCTGTGGTATGGATTTGAGTTAGAGCTAGTCATGGCCATGCTGGTGGGAGATTCGTCTGTAAAAACTTGCATTTGTGGTCACAGTGGCTTCTATGGTGTATAAATATACATACCTAGCTGGATGAATCCTGTTGTAGCCAGCTGGCCCAGTGGCTAGCAAGTCAGTTTGGAGTTTTATGACTCTCTGATCACATTTCATCTTACGTCGTTCCGCTAATATGGCGACTTCAAATTATGACCAAAACTTGCTATACAGCTCCCTGTCTTTTTTAAAATTTTGAAATTTTAAATTTTCCCTAAAACCCAAAGAAAAAAAATTTATTAAAAAAAAAAAGGAAACCCAACAAACAAATGAATTTAAGGGTTAATTTTAAAAATTTTAAAATTTTTAAATTTTTTTAAAAAAAAACATTTTAAAAATTTCAAAAAACCTTTTTCCAATTTTAAAATTAAAAAAAACAAAATAAATTTTTAAATTTAAAAAAAAACAAAAAATTTTTTTAAAATTTTAAAAAAGGCACAACCTAAAATGGGGTTTTTCCCAAAAAAAGGGGGGCCCCCCTTTTTTATTTAAGGGCTCAAAAATAAAAAGAAATTAACCCAAAGGGAGTAAATTTAACCCCCAAAAAAAAAAAATTTAAAAAATTTTCAAGGGGAATAAAAAAAAAAAAAAATTTTCGTTTTTAAAACTTTTTTTAAAAAAAAATTGGCCAAAAAAATTTTGGGGGGAAAAAAAAATTTTGTTAAAAAAAATTTTAACCCCAGAAGCAAACCGGGAAAAAAAAATTTTAATTTACGGGGGGTTTTGGGGTTTTTTAAAGAAATTAAAAATTAGCCATATTAAAAAAAGGGAAAAAAAACCCCAAAAAAAGAAAAAAATTTTTTAAAATAAAATTTTTTAAAAACCCCCCCCAAACAAAAAATAAATTGAAAATTTTTGGGGGGTTTTGGGGGGAAAAAACCCAGTTTAAAAAATAAAAAATTTTTTTGGGGCCCATTTTTTTTTAAAAAAACCATTTACCCAATACCGGGGGTTTTTTTTTCCCTGAAAATTTTTAAAAATTTTGAAAATTTCAACTTCCCCTTTTAAAAAAATTTTTTTTCCCCCAAAAGGGGCCCCTTTCAAAAAAGGGGGGGTTTTTTCCCCCCTTCCCTAAATTTCCCCTTTTTTATAAAATTTTAAAAAAATTTTTTTAAAAAAAAAAATTTTTTTTAAAAAAAAAAAAAAAAATTTTTAAAAAACCCCCCCCAAAAAAAAGGGGGGCCCAAACCCCAAATTTTTTTTCAATTGAAACTTTTCAATTTCCTTAATTTAAATTTAAAAGGTAAAAATAAATTTTCCCCAAAAATTTAATGGTAAAAATTTAAAAACCCCCTTACATTTTTAAGGGGCCCCTTTTTGGGCCTTAA